CCCCTCGCAAACTCCTCAACAAATTACAGCAAATCATTTTATATATAAGTTGAATTTGTTTCAGATTGTGCATGTTGCGCTTCAGCATTAACCCACACGAGCACACACACATATATATATATACGCCCTACTACCAGTGGAGCTCCATATATCAGAGATATGTTTACTCGAATCAAACATTATAACATCTACATCTAGTCGGCATCTCAAATGAATCGGGATCACAAGAAACTTTTGTTGAAGCACATAATTCTGCTTTAATCAGACTGTTATAATATATATATGTTTAATATAATCGTAGCATCATAAAAATTTGAGGATTTCGGTACTTATCATAAATAGAGTACAAAAGTTGAGCAATATTCAAACATATATGCGGTAAATTTTCTTTGCCCTGCACAGCAAGTGTGAGTGGCGAATTTCGAAGCGTACAGTTTTATGTTCCGCAAAATAGAGTATATCAAAATAATTGATTTTAACTCAAACAAATGCAACATAAGCAGAAATATGAAAAATCTTACAAAAGTAGGAAGGTTGTGAAGGGAGAAATTTTTACAATGTGAAAATCAAACAGGTAGTTCCAACTTTTAAAATAATTTATGCCATTTGTCAGGGAACAAGTAAAAAAAAACCCACGATTGGTCCATTATATATTTTATAAACAACTATAAACTGTGGTGGGATGATCCCGAGACTAGATTGAGATTTCAACCAATAAAATCAAAGAACAGAACTGGCACAATGAGAACAAGGTCGCGGAAATAATAAATTAATTATTAACCCAAATGTACAAAATGTCTCATCGAAACAAAACTGCGTTTACAGAGTAGATTCATGGACATTCATTCCTGGCGCACTCGGAGAACAGAGAAGATTATTCTGGCTCCTACATGATCAGCTATTATTAGGGCACACATACTCGCGCACACACACACACACACACACACACACACACACACACACACACACACACACGTTCACTGACTGAGAAAGATTACCACAAAAAGCTCTGGTGCTTTTTTTTTCCCTCCACTCTCTCTGTATACATCATTTATATGAATTGAGCTTCTGATGTAGAAAATCATCTTATAAGATATAGCCCAGATGGTCCAGTCATGCTCAACAGAGGGCACGACAGTCGTACATCAAGTGTTATAATTTCCATCCTTAACCCCCCCCCCCCCTGCGTATTTAATATTTCTTGAAGAAGTTTGCTTTGTATTGTCTACCCCCCCCCCCCCCCCACCCCAAAAAAAAAGCCACGACAACGTTGAATTTAAATGTCTTCAACATGATATTGATATACAGCCAATGAAAAGGAATCTGTAATGTACAAAGGATCATTTTTAATCGACAGTCTACCTTTCCTTTTAACTCTAAACCTTCACCAGTTACCAAAAGTATCTTGATATCTTTCTTGAACCCTCTTGGCAAATGATCAGAGTGGATGATTTCTTCGGTACCGATTCAAATCGGGTCTTGAGTAATAGCTGTCACACTGTGATAGGTAATCCAGATGAAAACATTGTCCAAAAATTGTCACTTTCATGTACATAGATGTACGAACTTTTCAGACAGATAAACTGTCCCAAAAGGGAATTCGTGGAAAAGTGAGCAAAATGTTCTTTATTATCCAAAAGGGCGCAGGTTCCAATTCAAGAGCAGGTGATAATATCTCTTCTGTCCGAGGGGACAAAAGTGTTTCTGGTACGGTCCAAATAAATAATAAAAGTCCAAAATGAAATCAGAAATAATCCTAGCTTGTGACTTGTCGATGAAATCCAGGTCTACAATATGAGAGGGTCCATCCATAACAAAGAGAAGCCACAAACGGCGTGATTGGAGAAGAATCTCAAAGTCCCAGGGAGCCTCTACCCCAGTCTTATAATCAAAATGTACGCCAGGCCGTGATAAAAGCAAGGCACAAGACAGTTCGTTTCGATTGTAAAAGTGATCCGCTTCCGTCGACACCGATTTAGGAGGCGGGCTTCTGCAACCCTGCATGTCAGGGGCCAGTCTGCTGTGCTGAGTCGGATACAGCGCTGCTCCAACCAGCAGACAGACGGAGATGTTTGATTGAGTTTTATTACTCTTCCAAGCGGGAATCGAACCCGCGTCCTCTGTGTTGTGAGTGCAACGGCCAACAGCTTGTAAAACCGTTCCACCACAGATTCTCGTGCGGTCGTCCTCCAGGAAGAGAGATCCAAGAGAGACAATTCCGCTACCCCAGAGAGAGAGAGAGAGAGAGAGAGAACGCGGGACGAAAAGTCTACCACTGCTCCAGGGAGGAAAGCAGATAGAGGGCCTGTGCGTCAGGGGATCGACAGCACAAAGAGGTTGAGAATAGAAACAAAAGCATCCAACAGCAGTCACACGCGAGAAGCTCCTATGTCCGTAAACAACAACAAGATCAACAACACACTGTCTTTTGGCTTTGGGTATTCAGGATGGAAGCCATTATGGTACTCAGCTCAACTCAACTGGCAAGACTAGTTGGGCTCAGTAAGATTGTTGGATGTGCACTTGTATACATACATGTGCTAGAGAGTGTGTAGGTGTGTGTGTGCGAGTGTGGTCGTTGTAGGGGGACGAGCTGCAGTGAGCGTGTTTCCGCTGGTTTCTGCCGTTGCTGTTGTCGCCAGTCGTTGTCAAGTGTTTGGGCTGTCATCGAGGAGGTCTTCTATAATGTTTGGCACATTCATAAAAGAGGACGATGACGCAGACTCTGGGGTGGCGGGCTGGTCGCCTGGCCTCGGGGTCAAGGCATTTGGGGTGCCCTGACCTGAAGAGGCACCGTGACGAGATGTCAAGGACATTCCACCGTCTTGAAGGTCAGCCAGGAAGGAGTACCACTCAGGGATGGGTTCAGAAATCGAAGCACTCAGTCCAGTACTAGTACAGGGATTGGCTAATGTGGACCCCCGAGGGACCTGCAGAAAGTTTGGGACGCCCGAGAGAGTTTGACTTGTGTGACCTTGGCCTTCATCGCTTGTGGTTGATGGGAGGGAAGAGGCTGAGAGTTCCAGAAATGAGGTCAGGGACAGGAGTGGGGCGGGGGATGGGGTGTTTGAAGACGAAGGGGTGGTGCTTGGCTGGTGGGAGTGAGCGGAGCTTGGGGCAGGGGAGGCCATAGCACCTCCCACTAATTCCTGGCCCACGGGGATAAAACTGTAAGGGGCTGGGGAGGGGGTGTTGGACGTACGGGTGGCACTGAAACAGTGGACATTGGTCAGGTTGCTCAAGGTCGTGTGCGGGTCATAGGTCACGCTGGAAGAAGATGGGGCTGAAAGGCCAAGGGGGAAGGAAAGCTGCTGCTGCTGCTGCTGGCCAGCTGCGTGGAGGGGAGTGGTGGAGGTGGTAGAGGACATGCCTGCCATCGCGGTGGACGACGGGGTCCTCTTCAGGTTCATCTGCAAAGCTGGGTCGGAGAGGGTCCTTTTCTGGGACAGGATCGTAGCCGACCGGAACAGCGGCTGTTCTGGGTAGCTGTTGTCATCGGAAGAACTGCTGTCCTCCACAGTGATTGGGAGATTCATAGCAGATAGCGAGGACCGACCGGTCAAGGCACTTCCGCTGAACAGACCCACGGACTGGTGGGAAATCGGACGCCTATTTGCCACAGCTGCTTGCTGGCTTCCAGGGGGCGGGGTCAAAGACTGTGACAGCATATTCCCTCGCTGTTGATTGGTTAAGGTATTCCTAGATGGTGGTGCTTGTGAAGCAGCTTGGAGCGGTCTACTCGCACTAGCCATGCTCATAGGGTTGCTAAGCGACCGACCACGAGATGATACTGGAGCGAGGTTGGTGCTAAATCCCATAGACGCGAGACCAGTAGGTGTGTCCATGTTGCAGTAAGTACTGTTCGTTGAAGTATCCATGGAATATTCGTATCTAAGAGGGGGCTCACTTCGCACACGAGCAACATTGGCCGAGCCACTTCCCGAGGGATTTTGAGAGGGGAACAAGACATCAGCCGAGGGCACAGTGCTCGGCGGCTTCTGTTGCAATTTTTGTGAGCCGATGAAATGTTCTAAATTCGGGTTATAAGCTCGCATGGAGGATTGCGGCAAGTCTACGGCCATCTGGCGTCTGAGTGGTGGGGTCACTCGTGTGTTACCAACGGGCAAACTTCCCGTGCGTAAACTATGTAATTGTTGTTGAGGATTTGAGACGTTTGATACTTGCTGTGGTGGGGTCAGTGTCGCTTGAGAGTCCCGACTTATCTCCCCTAGCTGCTGCTGCTGCTGGCGTTGACGATGTTGCTGTAGTTGCTGCCACTGCTGCGACTGCTGTTGTTGATGAAGAGAGTCTGTTGCATGGGGTGGTGAACTTGATGGTGATGAGGACGATGAAGAAGAAGGTACGCGATGCGTCGTCTGCTGTTGCTGCAAAGATCTCGTGGCCTCTTCCATTTGCCTTTTCTTTTGCTTCAGATCCTCGTTGACAATCAATTTCATCAGGGGCTCCGGCACAGCGCCTCCTCCATCCAATTGTATACACCATTGTTTAAACTACAGAAAAGACAAAACATGGGTGTGCAATTTCATGTTTATTTGGCCATGAGGATACATGACATGGTTATTTACACATTAAATCATAGATATATTATAAATATAGCATAGAATTAATACAAAATTCGTATCGCGGATTCGTCTGTAGGGGGAAAAACATCTCAGCCAGCAAAAGCAAAACAAAACTGTCAGCTTCCATTGTGACCTAAATTCACGTTTACAAAAACACCCAACAAATTCCTACCATTCGCGGTGGGTCGTCAGTGCCTTTCAACACTGGTCCAGTATGCTTCAAGAGGTCCATTTCTTCTTTTTTTAAAGTTCTTCCTTTCCGTTACTGTTATCAGCTTCTTCTTTTTTTTCGAACGATCTTTTTCACTGGACTCTTCTTTCTTTTCTCTCAAGTGTTCATACTATCCATGATTTAGGTTGAATGTGTAAGAGAATTAACCTTTTCTATCGGCATCATACCAACATGCACATACTGTACATAAGCACAATATGATGTATGTATGCGTAGATCTTAATGTCTTCAGATGATCGAATCTCTTGTCAACGTTTAGAGATCACAGTTTCTTTTGTTTAGTTTTACATGCGGTAGATGTCCTCAAACGAAAAGCAACAGCTGACTAAATCACTTTCGCGGTTTCTCTCTTCACCGACGCATCTATAGATGTGCATGTGAACACACCATACAATCAGGAGGCCACGAGACCGTTGATGAATCATTAACTCTAAAGCACATCGAGGAAAAGCGGGGGTGTGGGAGGGGGACACCACATTAGTTTATTGACCGTTACAGTACAGGAAACCTGAGGAAAGTAGCG